CCTTCAGCTCCTCAGAGAATGAGAATAGTGAGTGGGATAGAGATTGTGAGCAATCATTTCTGTGCATGCTCAGGATAAAGACAATGGTCAGCCTTTGGATAGGAAGGTCACCAGCTACCCTGCACTGACAGTAATAGAGCACTTACATTGCTATCTGAGATGTGTGAGTAAACTGAGCATCCTGCCAGCATGTGGCTGTAGTCACTACTGTTCAGACATTCTGATAGCTAAGACGGTGAAACCTCCTGGTGGCATCCCCATTTCCCTGATGGATAATTATGATGAACGTCTTTTTAAATGCACGTAGTGGTCATTTTTATTTTACTGTTTTGTGAAATATTTTTTCTAATTGTAGTCTTTGATTCTTTAGTATTGGGATTCCAGTGTTCTTTACATATTGTAGATAGCAGTCCTTTGCTTTTGAAATGTGTGGTTTTCAAGTATTTTCTTCCTTTTATAATTTATATTTTCATCATATTCATACAGTATTTTATGAAGTGAAAATTTAAAAGTTTGAATTTTCCACCTCAGTTAATCTAATCTAGATAACCCTCAGAGTCGTGTTGAGAGATTTGCTTCCATGGTGATTCTAAGTCCTACCAGTTGACAATCAAGACCAAGAATCTTACAGTTCTTCCTCCATTGGAATGGTTTTTCTACGTTTATCAAATATCAATTCAGGAACTGTGGAAATGGCTCTCTGGGTAAGTGCTAGCTGCTGTATGAACATGGAGACTGAAACTGGATCCTAATTAGCCACTTAGACCTCAGTATTATGGTATCTATAACCTCAATGCAGGGTGGGTGGGGTGAGATGAGCAAATCACAGAGTGTCATTGGCTAGCTTGTCTGTCAGAACCATTAAGACCTGGGTTTACAGAAAAACCTTGATTCTCTCCCTGGCCCCCTTGCCCCACAACATCACATGCTAATAGGAACAATAGAAAAAGACACTCAGCGTTGATTTGATTTCCACATGTGCATTCAGTGGTAAATGCACATGCATAAACCTCCTCCCCTGCCACTAAATATTTACAATTAATTTAGTCTGTGTGTATGGGCTATTTATGGACTCTATTATTTCTCATTGACCTCTGTGTCTACCTATTAGAATCACACTATTTTATTACTTTAGCTATCAGTCAGCTGTACTCCTTGATAGAGATTCTTCACAGTTTATCTTTGTCAACATTGTTTTGGCTATTCTAAGATTTGTGCTTTTTCCAATGAATTTTAGAGTGCTCTTGTATATATTTGATTCACAACACTTGTGAGATTTTAGTTGTAAATTTTATAAACATACAGGGAGACTTGACATCTTAAATATGTTGAGTGTTTTAATCCATGAACATAGTATAGATCTCCATCTGTTAATGCCTTTGGGTTCCTTCTTTAGTATTTTATAATTTTAAGCATACATAATCTAAACATGCTTTGAAAAGATATATCTGAGTATTTCATTTTATTATTACTATCAATGGTACTGTTGTTTTTTAAATTTTGTTTCTCCATATTAATTTTTGTATACAGCTGTGTGGTTTTTATGTGTTGGTTCTTATATAACCTTGATGGATTCATATATTAGTTCTAACGGCTCTCACAGATTCTTTGGGATTTTAAACCAGTTATCACGTCATCTATAAAGAAAGACTGATGCTTCTACTTCTTCCTTTCTAATCTATGCCCCTGTCTACATTCTTGTTTTATTTCAGAATCTAGTACTCCCATTACTATATGATGGATAAGAGGCATAAAATAGAATATGTATTTCATTCTAAATCCTAGAAGTTAAACATTCAATCTTTTAGCATCAAGCTGAAGGCATCTTGTAGATTATTAAATTTAGATAATTATTCTCTATTGACTCCAATAGGTATTAGAATTTATCAAATATTTTCCAAAAAATGCATCAGTTACTATAATCACATGAGTTTCCTTTTTTAGTGTGTTGACATGTTGAATTATCTTGACTGAGTTTTAATATATTGAATTAAATATATTGAATTAGCTTTATTTATATACATCAAAGCTCTTTGATTATATTTTTACACATTCTGAATTTTTTTTGTATTTTGAGAAATTTTGATTCTAGGTGCATAAGTGATTTTTATAAGTGGTTTTTATATTGTTTTGCCTGCTTCTGGTATCCGTGTGACTCTGGTCATATAAAGTAGGTGACAAACTGTTTCTTCCTCCTGTATTTTCTGGTAGAGAGTGTGCAATATTGAAGCTAATTTCCCTTTAAATGCTTCGCAGAATTGTCTGTGGGCTCCAATACACCCTGCAAACCCAAACACTGTAAGACTGACATGAAAAAGAAGCAGCCACTTCCTAAAGTAATAGTTATCAAGTAAGACACCATTCTGACTGCCTCTTTCTTCTTTGGTCAGGAGGTGGTTGGTTTAAGTTCTACCAACATCTGAATCTCGAAAGCTACTAAGGCAGTATACCACACACTAAGTAGCTTAAAGAACATTAGTTCACCACTTCATGTCAGCAATCAAGGTGCCTGGTGTGGGCTGGCTGTTTCTCTGCGCTCCGAGGGAGAGGGAGGGTCTGTTCCAGGCTTAAGTTATAGGTAGCTATTTTCTCCTGTGTCTTCTCACACTCTCTTATCCTTAGATATTGTTTCCGAACATAAGTTCCTTTCTTTAAGGTAGGAAGTGATTTTTGAATTTTAAAGGAATTAATGGCCTCGTTTTCACTGCAATATTTCCATAAAGACTGTCCCTCCAAAGAATATCCTATTTTAAGGATATTATTGTTTGTTTCTTTGCTGTTCTTGTTTTACTTTTGGGGTGGGGAACAGATTTCAATTCACCATACTCTCTAAAGTTAAGCAATCATGAGCAAAAACAGAAAGACCAGCATTTTGTTCCTTGAGTTCATGCTTTGCCCTTGAAATCGCCAGCCTCTCTATGCTACCTGAAGAAGAAAGAGAAGCCCCCTTCCTCCGTGCCTGTTCCCTACCTGTCTGGATCCCATCAATTCCGAATCCTTAAGATGGACTCTGGATATGTTATCAAGCTCCCCGAATTGCGGTTTAGGAGAATGGAGGCAGTGTTTTAGCAGGGCTACAACAGTCAGGAAACAACAGAGGCACACATAGTTGAGGACAGCGCAATTGCTCCCAGTTGAGGGGACACAGGAAGACACAGCTACCTCACAAAGGACTCCAGTGACCAAGGGACTACCTGAGGGGAACTCAGCTGTGACTTGTAAAGAATCCTGAGATAGCAGCCACCAAGGAAGCAGAGCACTGCCACTTGGCAAAGGCAAAAGCAGGAAATCACTCACCCTTACTGTGCTCCCCTTCATCCTCACCCTCTCTGTGCTCCCATCCCCTGAGCTAAGGCAGACTGGGGCAGAACAGTGTGGCAGTGCCTGTGCCCAGTACTACTCTGTGCTCCAGGGGCCGTGGAGCAAAGTTTTCATTTAGATCAAGAGGACAGAAGTGTTATAACTAGAGCTCAATCTTCCTCATCAAAGAGTCCTGAACAAATGAAGGTAAGAAGTTATGGATGGGTTGAGACCAGTGTTGAGGACCAACTGCCAAGCAGAAAAGAGCAGTGTGCTAGGTCAAAACGCAGGAAAGTGAATGGGGAAAAATGACCCGATGTCAGGCCTGGTCCTCATTGAGTAAGAGACTCAAAACTTTAAACACTGTACATGTGCCTCCTACTGATTCCTATGACAGAAACCTGCCCCTGTCATCAGGTTGTACAACTATATAATTTAAATTACTAAGGTAACTACAGACATGAGGGCTGAGATGTAATTCAAACCATTCCTCGGGTTATTTGCTTTCTAGCTGAGATATCAATTTTAGCCTAACACCAACATATTCTTAACATGAAAATACTAGCTTACACATGCTCTGTGAACAATTATAATTGTCATTGTAATAAGTAAGTAGAAATGGAAAGTGATTTTTCATTATTACAACATGTATCTTATATCACAGTGTGATAAGCATGGATTAGGGGAATTAGTTTAATGACGTTAAACTCATTTTGCTAGGCAAAAACATGGTTGCAGTTAGCTTTAAATAGAGAAGTTATTCATCTGCAGCACATATCCATTTCCAGCTGCAGTCAACGTAGATCAGGGTCTAGCATACAAAATTGATACACCAACAACTGACATTGTCTCATTTTATGTGAAAGCCATGTGATAAGGACAAACACTTGCCAGATGGGTTTGAGAGCCCTTCTACCTCACTTGGGGGGAATCTTTTATGGCCAGAGAGAAACCCCACCTCGAGTGGGAACCTTCTCTAGAGATAGCAATAAAACACAGTTCTCATTAGCTCTGTCAGATGAAGCCAGCACTAAGCAGTGCTGTGGAGGAGGCAGGCTGTCCAAGGATAATGCGAGGGATGTGAAAAGGGATCCAAACATGAGAGCAGATGTAGGGATGAAAACTCTCAAGTTCTATCTACTTCTGCCTGCTCCTGGAAAAGGGGTGAGAGGCAGGAACTCAGAGGAGAGGCTTGCTGGTTGGATGAGGCCTGTTCCAGCTGTCAGCTCCACCACAGCACTGTAGGCAGCCCTCCAAAAGAGGAAGAAAGCCTAGTGTCCTAGCTTAATGCTTGATGACAGAACTGTGGGTTGTTATAAATAAAGCTGTAGCCATTTAGATGCCATCAAGTAGGATATCACACAATAGAAAGTAGCTTTTTCTTTAAAGCCTAATTTCGAAGAGGGACGAAATAATGGTTATCACTGATCAATTTTAAACACAATTTTAAAAGCTTATCCAATATGGGGAAACAGTAAGTCCATGGCCCAATGTACCTGTGTGTGTGTGTGCGTGCACGCGCGTGTATGCGTGTGCAAATTCTCTGAGAATGAACAAAGATCTTCCTATATTTTACCTCTAGAGAAACAGCCTACATTGTGGTAGTAGTTTTAAGATGACCAATACCTTTCTCTAAAACCATTTTCTGTAACAGAACCATTTTTCCAAAAAGGCAGAGGTGCACAGAGCCTGATTCCTACCTGTGCTGGTGTTCGTGGCAGGGCAAGGGCAAGAGCTGGCAAGCAGTGGCCCTGAGCCCTGGGCTGGGGGCGGAGGCTGCCCATCACTCAGCTGCTTGACCCGCTTTCTATGGGATTTGCCGTCATAATGGACCTGGGCCTGGGCTGCAGAATTTAGCTGGATGTTGCACACATCACAAAAGGAGAAGAGAATCTTCTTCTTCTCTTTATTGAACTGGTCCCCAGGCCTGTCGTTCTTTAACCCCTTTTCTTCAAAGCCCCGTAGGAAGGTTGCCATATTCATAATTCCATCTTCACAATGGTTGTCAGGGATTAAGGAGTATTTCATAACTGAAAGAAAAAAGAAACATAAGGGCCTATAAACTTGTATGTGCTCTCTTATCTTCCGGTGCGAATATAATTCATTTTTAATGGTTGAGTTCAGCAGATATGGTCTTCAACAAATCCGAAGCACTTTATATCTCCCTCTGCCCCTCTTCTATTACCTACCTCCCTAACACCTCTCACTCGCTCTGCCCTTTTAACTCCTGCCCACCCACGAGATCTTAGCTAGCAGTGGTCTTTTCCAGGGAACCCCTTCTCAACCCACAGTAAGGACAGAGCAGGCCATGGGCACCCAGAGACCTATATGGTTTTCCTTTACAACATCTATCACATTGTAAATTCCATGTCTAGGAATGTATTTGTTTTATGTCTGTCTCTGTGAGGACAGCAACCTCATCTCTGTGTATGTCTTAGGCCTAGAGCTGAACTTTTACATAGTAGGTACATAAATATCTGTTCATAACAGGAAGGAATGTTTTGAAACCAAAACTATTCCAAATAACCTTTCAAGACAAAAATGAACATAAAGTATATACACACACGCACACACCCCTACCTGCACACATGCAAACAGACACATGCCAGAACTAGGATCTAATCAGAACTAAGATTAAAACACAGTATAAAGAACAACTTACATTGAATCGTGTTCTAAATGCCCCTTTACAAGTCAGCTTGCTGGAATTTGCACATATTTTCTTGTGATGTAGTGAAACAAGTGGTTTGTAAATTTCCAGACTAGCCCATAAATATCAATTTAATCTTTGATAAGCTTGAAATGTAGATCATCTGAAATACAAAAAATAGAAATGCATTACTATAGCAAATGGGTGCGTATGTTAAAAAAGCAAAACAGACTCTAACATAATTATATTTTTGAATGCTGGTCTTTTCTTTCAATTATTAGATGACAGAATCAAGAAGAATGATACCCCTCCTAAGGGATTTAAAAAGAAAAATTTCAATACCTCGAGACCCTCAGTTACTGTAAGTTACATTGCCTTTTTATTTATTTTTTGTTCAGTTCTACTTTAAAACAGGTTAACTGTTCATTTCAGTTGACCTCAGAGTTTGTGGAAGTTTCACACTTTCCAAGTGTGTCAGTGTTGTGTTTCTTGGGTTGGATGAGGAGAAAGCCACTCTTCAAGAAGACGGGGATATGCAGACACAGGGACATACACTTCAGGCCCACACTTAAGAGACTGAGGAAGGAGAACTTCAAGTTCAAAGCCAGGATGGGCTTTATATCAAACCTCATCTCAAAAAACAAAAATGAAAACAAGGACAGACAACTGGCAAAGAAGAACAAAGACAGTCATATAAAAGAATAATCAGGATTCATAATGACTTGTGATGGATTTTTGTGAATGGGATAAACTCAGAGGATTAAAATACATTATTGGTATTGAGGGATTGTTTCATCTAAGCTGGCTTTGGGTTCTCTGGAAACAAGGGAAAAACGAAACACAAGTTCACAAGCTGAATAATGAAGACTCAGATAGAATGTGACCATAAAGACAAATGTTGATTCTACACGCAGTATGCCATATCTACAATTTACCCTTATACCCAGCTGTGAAGACCGTTCACATCTTACTGGATGCATAAAACATACTCAGCCCACACAGTATCTTATCTGGTGCCACCATTTTAAGGGACTCTATAAAACTTTACTTATTTCTTTCAGCTTAATCAGTTTTCTTTCCTTTACATCTACACAAATAGGCTGGTGAGATGACTCAGCAAGTAAAGGCCCTTGATGCCAAGGCTAAACAACCTGAATTCAATTCCCAGGACCTACATATTGGAAGAAGAGAACTGACTCCCACCTCTACACATGAAATGTAACATGCTTCCTCTACAACTAAAAAAAATGGGAAAAATCTACACAAATTCTGCATAAATAGTAAGTAAACAATTCCCATATCTATTCTGGGGATAAAAGAATCCTTACTAAAATGTGATTTGAATTGCACATATACAAGTCTTTGGACTTTAAATCCAAAACCTTGTCACGCTTCACAACATTACCTTAACCTCTCTCCAAATATTCGAATGTAAGAATTGGTGAATGAGCTGAATTGATAAACAGTCCATAATGAGCTCATCAATGTTGCAACCTGGTGAGAACACTAGTCCACAGCAAGGAAGAAAAGCTGGACCTGTGAAGCTCACAAAGCTAGACCAGTCACCCGACCTAACTGCATCACTGAATCCCACTCAGGCAACTATGTGACCTTTGATTCCCCTAAAGGCTACTGACACTTCCTTTGCAAACTGTGACCTCTCTGAAGGTCTCTGGGCTTGGCCATGCTGTGGATGAACACGGTGTCTCACTGAAAGAGGGTATCTGTCATATTATTCCCCCCTTTAAATCTCATAGTGAAACAATGACTTTTTTTGTACTGTAAAACATAAACCAGCTGCCTCTACTTTTGAGGCTACTGCCATTTGTCCCAGAAAGAAGGTACACTTTACATCAATTTACTCATGCATAATCTAAATAGGAAATATGGAACCTGGAAGTTTGTGCCTTCTCCTGAGCTACTCACCCAAGGATCCTTCCAGCCTCAGAACCACACCTATGGGCCACTTTGGCAAGGGTGTGATGCCTTAAACAATGTTTTCCAGCTCCTAGGTATCTGTCTAGTATCTGATTTCATTCACCACACTTAGTTGGCTTCTCAGGGTGAACAAAGCAAGTTCTCACTATTTCCACTCGCAACCAGTCTATTTAGTTACAGAGGTCTTAGGAAAAGGACCTAGAGGAGGCAAATATCAGTCTTGACAGCCACATTTGGGTCCAAAATGATACAATGCACATGTGTGGAGTAATGGTGTTTATAATGTCAACTTTCTGTGTAATGGTAAGGTTGACAGTCCAGTCTAAGTGGAAGAAGAGAGAGAAAAATCTCTCTTGATTTTTTTGAGCAGACTATCTTAGATGACATGTTTTGTATGCATGGGATAGAAAGCTCTTCGGGACTGATTTTTGAGAGTAGTAAGCAGCATGCTGCTTTAGGTGAACTAGGAGGTGTCTCTGGGGACACAACAAGGAGAAGCAAAAGTGTCCTATGCTCTTCTTGTGTTATTTTGTGAGATGGCCCACACTTTGGACTCCATGAGAGAATAGCTTATCCTGATACACATTAAGGAATGAGAAGGTGGGTCTGTGAGGTGCTGCCTTTGGGAAAATGAACTGAAGGACCCAAACTGGATGATCAGTATGTATCAGAATGAGTGATTTTAAATGACCAAGAGGTAACAGACTGGGTAAACTTTCCTAAGGTAAAATATTATCTTTAGGGCCAGTCCCATATCCAATGAAGTTAACTATGCCCATGAAAACACCGGAAATAAATAATCTTATACCACCAAAACCAAAAGAAGAGAAGCACATAAACACATACATTCTCTCTCTCTCTCTCTCTCTCTCTCTCTCTCTCTCTCTCTCTCTCTCTCTCTCTCTCTCTCTCTCTCTCTCACACACACACACACACACACACACACAAAACACCATGAAAACAACAAAATAACAAGAACTAACAATCATTGGTCATTAATATCTCTCAATATCATTGAACTGAATTCCCTGAACCCATCTCAACATCTCAACATCAAAAACTCAGAGTAAAGGGTTAGAAAAAGATTTTCCAAACAAAGGGACCTAAGAAGCAAGCTGGTGTAGCCATTCTAATATCTAACAAAATAGACTTCAGACCAAAATTAATCAAAAGAGATGGGAAAGGACACTTCATACTTATCAAAGGAAAAGTCCACCATGAAGACATTCCAATTCTGAACATCTATGCCAACAATTCAAGTAAAGTAAACTTTACTAAAGCTTAAATCACACATCCATCGATGCTCATACATTAACACTGTGATACTTCAAAACTCCACTCTCACCGATAGATTGGTCATTCAGACGAAAACTGAATAGGGAAGTTCTGGAGTTAACAGATATTATAATCCAAATTGACCTGACAGATATCTACAGAACATTTCATCTAAACACAAAACAATACAGCTTCTTCTCAGCATCTCATGGAATACTCTCCAAAATTGACCACATACTCAGGCACAAAGCAAGTCTCAACAGATACCAAAAACAAAACAAAACAAAACAAAACACAGAAATAACACCCTGCATTCTATCAGAACACCACAGGTTAAAACTGGATTTCAACAACAACAAAAACAGCAGAAAGGCTACAAATGCATGGAAACTGAACAACTATCTAATGAATAACTACAGGGTCAAGGCAGAAATAAAGAAAGAAATTATAAGCTGCCACAAGTTCAACGAAAAGTAATACACAACATACCCAAACTTATTGTACACAATGAATGTGGTACTAAGAGGAGAAGTCCATAGCACTAAGTGTCTACATAAAAAAATTAGAGATATCTGATACTAGTGACTTAATAGCACACCTAGAAGCTCTAGAGCAAAAAGAAGCAAACACACCAAAGAGAAATAGAGGGCAGAAAATAATGAAACTGAGGGATAAAATCAATAAAATAGAAATAAAGAGGACAATACAAAGAATCAATGAAACAAAGAGTTGGTTATATACAAACCCTTATTCAAAATAACTAAAATACACAGAGAGAATTTATCAAATCAGAAATGAAAAAGGGGACATAATAACAGATACCAAGGAAATCCAAAGAATCATTGGGCCATACTTTAAAAACCTATGCTCCACAAAATTGGAAAAATGTGAAAGAAATGAACAAATTTTCTTGATATATACCACTTACTAAAGTTAAATCAAGATTAGATAAACAATTTAAATGACCTATAACCCCTAAGAAAATAGAAGCAGTAATTAAAAGTCTTCCAACCATAAAAGGCCAGGGAAAGACTTTTAGTCCAGAATTCTGCCAGATTTTCAAAGAAGAGCTAATGCCAATACTATCCAAATTATTCCACAAAACAGAAACAGAAGAAACACTACCAAATTCATTTTATGAGGCAACAGTCACCCTGATACCCAAACCACACAAAGATTCAATAAAGATAATTACAGACAAATTCCCCTCATGAACATTGATGAAAAAATAATTAAATACTCACAAACTAAATTCAAGAACACATAAAAAAGTTATTCATTATGATCAAGTAGATTTCATCCCAGAGGTGCAGAGATGGTTCAATATATGAGAATCTGTTAATATAATATACCATATAGACAAACCGAAAAATTAAAGGCCATATGATCATCTCATTAGATGCTGAAAACCCCTTTGACAAAATCCAAAACCCCTTCAAGGTAAGTCTTAAGGAGATCTGTAATACAAGGAACATGCCTAAACATAATAAAAGCAATATATAGCAAGCCCATAGCCAACATCAAATTAAATAAAGAGAAACTCAAAGCAATTCCACTAAAATTAAGAATAAAAAAGGCTGTTCACTTACTCCATATCTATTCAATATAGTACTTGGAATTCTAGCTACAGCAATAAGAAAACTGAAGGAGATCAAGGAGATACAAATTGGAAAAGAAGTCAATGTATCATTATTTGCTGATGGTATTCATAAGTGACACCAAAACTTATATCAGGGAATTCTTACAGCTTAGAAACATCTTCAGTGAAGCAGTTGGATAGAAGATTAACTGAAAAAAATCAGTAGCCCTCCTACATATAAAAAACAAAAAGGCTGAGAAAGAAATCAGAGTCAACACCCTTCCCAATAGCCACAAATAATACAAAATATCTTTGGGTAACTTTAACCAAGCAAGTGAAAGACTTATATGATAATAACTAAGGATCTTTGA